ATATTTCCCTGTGCTGTCAGTTTTGTTGATATTTTCAAAGAAGGAACTTTGGTTGCCTTGCTTTTTTCTCTCTCTTGATTTTTTTCTCTTATTTACTTCTGTGCTAATCTTTATCACTTCCTTGTTTTTGGTCTCTTTGATTTAATTTGTCCTTTTTTTCTAGTTTCTTAAGGTGGAAGATTAGGTTACTGATTTGAGATCTCTTTTAATATGGATATTTACAACTAGAAATTTCCCTAGTAACAGTGCTTTGGCTTCATCCCATGAAGTTTGATATGTCAGACTTGCCTTTTTATAGTCCGTCCCCTCCCCCATCAGTCAGTCATTGATCTGACTTCTATCACTATAGCTGAATTTTGCCTGTTCTAGAGCTTCATATAAATGGAGTGATGTAGTATATATTCTTTGTATCTGGCTTTTTTGTTCAGTGTAATGTTTTTGAGATTTGTTCATGTAGTTGCATTATCAGTAGTTCTTTCCTTTTTACTGTTGAGAAGTATTCCATACTTTATTCTCCTGAGATGAGCATTGGGCTTGTTTTTTGTTTTTCACTATTATTATTAAAGCTGCTGTGAACATTCTGGTGCAGATCTTTTTGCGGATGTGTGCCTTCATTTTTTGGGGGGTAAATACCTAGGGAGTGAATTTGCAGAGTCTTATGGGCAGTGACTTGATAAGAAGCTGTCATATTGGTTTCCTAAGCAGTTGTACCATTTTATGCTCTCACTAGCCATGTATCTGAATTGTTCCCCATCTCCTTCAGCACTTGCTATTTTCAGGCTTTTAAATTTTGGCTATGAAAGCATTTCTTAACCTACTCACTAAACAGCCTTTTAAAAGAATCTTTTTGAATTATCTCACATGGATTTTAATCTAACCAGTGACCATTCAGTCAGCAGTTGTATGTAGGGCTTAATAACTTAATGCGTGGTTCTTCATATGTAAAGCTTAGACAATTGACTGTCAGTGGGGATTTGATTAGATTTGGTTCTCCAGCAGTAAAAACTGCAAATTAACATATTATCTCTGTATATTGTTTTTCTCTGCTTCTTTGTACATGTGGCAGAGTATGTCTCTTTGTCCTCTAGCTCCTGAATTTATGTCTTTTAGTTCTAACCACATGCTTGGGGGCTGTTTTTCCATCCCAATTTCATTTTCCCAGAAGAGTGAATCTTAAGAGGCTTGCCTAGACTCTTGGTGAGCACAGGTGTCCATCAACTGTGACCACAGGCGTAGGTTCACACAATACAAATATGGCTGCTAGGGATAGGCCTTTCTGTGGGACTAGAGGATAAATTTACAGGGAAGATAATGGGTTGATATCCCCAAAAAGTAGTAACTACATTTGATTAATAATATTCTTTGGGCTCTATCTTGCTACTGTGTCAGTGTTATGATAATTAACATTATCTGACTCCCTCTACCCCTCTGCCCCCCCCGCCACCATTTTGTTTATTTGAGCTTTCCATATTGGATTCTGGATATATAATAGAATCATTTCAGAGTTAGAAGGGACCTTAGAGGTCATCTAAGCAAATACTACACATGAGACAGTTTGTAGGTTCTGTGTCATTTTCCTGTGCAGCACCTCATTTGGTCTTCAGAACAGCTAGTGCCACACAGCTAATGCTGGTAGGGCCAGGCATGGATTGTAAATTGACTGATCCTTTCAGTTTACTTTTTATCTGACCTCTGTAGTTGCTGTGTAAATAAATTGGAACGTGTACCAAGATCTCTTTAATAGGTTTGATATCATCATCTGCTGTATTGGAAAACAATAGGTCCCTGTTACTATTGTGAGATTTTTCATTTGAAATTATTGATCTTTGTAAAATCAGATACTTTGTAAAGACTCGGTTATCAAATGGCATTGACTCGACATACTTTAAGCCAAGAGGCTTATTTTTAATTCTGAACCTCTGACAGGGCAAATGTGCCTGGCTTTTCTTTGCAGTCTGTTAATAGAATTAATAGAGGCTTAAGAAAAATGGTCTAATGCTTTGCCTGCTTTTTCCTGCTGTAAATTGTAATATAAGAAGACTGCTGGTTGCTTTCTTAAAATGTTGTTATTCTACTGATTGCAAAGCAATTTATAGATAAAAGATATTACATAAATACTAAGGGATCTATATATGTATTAGTTTTTAGAAATGTCATGGCCTATTTAAACGTGGGCTCCAAATTCCTAAAAGAAATTTGCTGATTTAGTATTTAGACTTTTATTTTTCAGTCTAAAACATTTACAGTAATTGCTGTGAGTCTCCATAGTTTCAAAGAAATTTTTATAGCATTTTGTTTGGTAGTACACATGACTTAAACCAGTAGTTTAGTTCCTGTTTTTTTAATTTCTTTTTAAATCTTAGTAGTCTCTCTTAGTGTTTTTATTATAAAAACAATTTCCCCAGACATGCTGCTCCCCAGTCTTGTTGAAGGAAGGAAAGGAGCATGTGTAAAAATTTATTTCTTTAAATGATACCTACATTTGTCAGTACCTACAGGGATGGGAGGTAGATGGACTGATAGAATTGAGTGAAAAGAGGGCAGTGTAGACTTGTTCTGCCACCCTCTCATGCATTGGTGACCTTTACTTAGACAAGAAAGTAGCTTTTCAAGATGTGATCATGGGGTTAAGCTCCTGCAAGATAACGATATTTGAAATTCATTTCTCAAAAGCTTGATTTCTCTAAAATTCCTGTCGTGTGTTCATCAGGATGGAGAACAAGAACAGATCCCTGAGCTGCCAGACCCAGGCTTAGAAATGGGCATTTTGCCCAGAGAGATCTGGAAACTGGTGGAGCGGAGAAGACAAGTCAAACAACTAATGAAACAGCAAGATTTAAATCCAGACCTTGTTCTTCAGGTAGACCTTTCCACTGAGCAACATCTGAGCGACAGTCTTGCCTTTTAAAATTTGATTATCTGGGGGTGATTTAAACATGATGTTGTGGGCAAATGCATGTGTTTAGTTTAAGTTTGTGAGTAGGAAACCATTAAAAAACACTAGAATGCCTCAAAATACAAGACCCCTCTATTTGCAAAGCTGTATCTTACCAAGATCCTTCTGATTTCCGGGAGCTGTGGAGCCCATGTTTACTTGCTTCTAGGAGGTCAGGGAATTATGGGTCAGGGAGGATGGGTTGACTGTTAAGAGTTCTTTTTCCGGGGCTGTTGAGGGTTTCCACTTCTTATTGGTGAGCTAGAAAACATCTAAGCGTCTGCAAATTCTCTTGTTTGTCTTTTGTCCTTGTGTGGCCTGCAGTATGACATTCGACAAAAGGCTTTGAAGCTCACAGCAAACAGTATGTACGGCTGCCTGGGATTTTCCTACAGCAGATTTTACGCCAAACCACTGGCTGCTTTGGTGACATACAAAGGAAGGGAGGTAAATGGTGTAACATTCCCATCTGTAAAAATGAGAGTATTTTTAACTGTACATGTTATGGTATGGGAGAGCCAAAAAATGTTACTAAGTTATACAGCTTCAAATACCCCTTTCTTAGGACAAATTTGAGACAGGTAGACTTTTAAGTAAGGATTCATTCATTTGTCCATTTTGTGTGTGTGTGTATTTACTGAGCATCTACTATGTGGCAGGCATTGTTCTAGGCAATAGGGATAGAGTATCAAGCAAGACATGAAAAGCCCCTGTGTCCTGAGGCTCATATTCCACCTAGGGTAGGGGGTGGGGAGAGGATTGTTTGGGAAAAGAGACTGTAAATAAGGGAATAAGCCAACACGAAAAGTAAGAGAATGTGACAGAAGTAAATTCTGTGAAGATAGTTGAGACAGGGTGGTGGGCTAGCGATTGGTAAGATGGCTGGCTAGTTTCGATTGCTCGGGAAAGGCTGCTTTAGGAGGTAACATGAATGAGACCTAAGTGACATGAGGGAGCTAGTATTTTTGCTGATGGTGGAGTGTGAGGGAAAGGAAGAAATCAAGGAGGATGCCTCCATTTTTGTCTTAGAGCTGGTTAGCTAGTGGAACCATGTATTCAGATGGAGAAATCTGGGGGAGAGGGATTAAGAGTTTTATCTTGGATATGTTCCCTTTGAGACTTATAATAGATTTGTAGGCATGTTAAATAGGCAGTTGGCTGTACAAGTCCCCAATTTCAGGAATATATCAGGACTGGAGTTATGGATTGAGAGTTATTGGTTTTAGAAAGATGGGCCGGATACCAAACAGATTTGAGGTCCTTTCCCTTTGTAAACACTACAAGCTTCATCTACTTTAGTACCACGTGCATGGGTTTTCCTTAATTTGTAAAAAAATAGTTACATTAAATATTAAATTCCACTTAACTCCAATGAACTATTGATTTCTGCCAGTGGATTTAGGACAACTTGGTCTTAAGGCAGGAGTGGTTATGGTCAGAATGCTCATGTTAGGGGCCTGTATCAGAATACTCTAGAGTAGAGATCAGCAAACTACAGCCCATGGGCCCAATCCAGCCTGCCATCTATTTTTTTTTTTAATTGAAGAAGTTTTATTGGCACACAGCCATGCTCATTCGTTTAAGTATTGTCTGTAGCTGCTTTTGCGCTACAAAAGCAGAGTTGAGAAGTCAGGATAGAGACGTGCATGAATACAAAGCCTAAAATATTTACTATCTGGCCCTTTTCAGAAAAAATGTTTGCTAACCTCTGCTTTGGAGTCTAAACAAGGACTGTCTAATAGAACTTTGAGATGATGAAAACGTTCTCCATCTGCATTATCCAATGCAGTGGCCACTGGTCACAAGTGGCCAGTGAGCACTTGATCACTGGCTAGTGTTGACCAACTGAGGAAGTGGGTTTTGAGTTTTATTTAATTATAATTAAAATAAGTTTAACTTCAAATATCCACGTGTAGCTACCGTATAGGACAGTGCAGATCTAACTGGCATGAAACAAACAGGATGTTCAGAGCTGTTCTGTTGGTAGCCCGATCTCACAGACTCGGCTCACGGCCCAGTGGGGAAAGGCAAAACATGTATGGAGGGAGACCAGTGTTAATGTGGGAAGGTTTCAGATATGTCATTTCTTTAAAACCCCATAAGAATCAGTTGATAGAGGTTAATAGTGTTCCCATTTTGCAGGTGAGGAGGCTAATAGACTCAAAGAGGTGAAGTATAACAAGTGACTTTTTTGAATGGGAACCCAGGCCTTCCTGCTTGTAAGGCCTTTGCTACATGACGGTTGTCAGCTCCATCTCAGGCTCTCTCCTGACTGCCTCTGCTTTCTGTTCTACCTCTTATTCCTGAAAGTGTTTCTCGATACTCATGTGAAGACATAGGCTCTTTTTACTTGAGAAGATAGAGGTGTTTTAGGGGCTCCCTGAAATGAGGGAAGAATGTTTTCAGTTTCTTAGGCTAAGTTTACCTTAAAAATATTTAAATTTTATTTCTGTGAATGTATCCAGTGGCTTCTGATAGAATACCGTCTTATTTTTGTATTAGGAAATGCACTCACTATGCCCCAACTGGGTGATAATACATGGGTTGACTATTGAGATTGGATCAAGGTTACTCTTAAGTTTCTCACGAGAGGCAATAGTTGACAATTTACTCCCTTGGAGAGTGCCTCTTGCTGTTGGGAAATCCCTGTTGTTACATTTTCTGCATTGGCTCAGAAATCCACAAGCTTAAAAGGGCACTGTTGATAATGATAAGCCCCAAATTTGTCCAATGATCTCCCCTACTCTTCTAATCCATTGTACTTGAAGGGCAATATTTTTGTTTAGCTGGATTTTTAATAGGAAGTTTAAACTCATTTTTTTAGTTATATAAAATATAACAATAACAGATCTTAAACTATTTTTAAAAACCCTACTCTCCACTAAAAAAGAATTTCAGACAAGTCTAGGAATAATCATATGTGATTTAATTTCTTGGCTTCTACTTTCCCCTTGTCTCTTACGCCTTTGCTGCTTCCTACAAATAAAAAAAAAAACATGTATAACAACTGTGGGAAATGGGCCTTTAAAGTAATGTGAGGTTAATGAGAAATAATAATTACTCAGTTGCTTCCTGGAAATCTTATTCTAGAAGAGGATTCAAAGCCATGTACAGAAATTATTTCCTATAATAAAAATGATTGTTAACATATTGGTGATAATTATTAGCACTGGCAGATGGAAAGTATTTTATATGATAATCTGACTTTCGGTTTACTAGCATTTTCCATATATACTGTTAGGTCTGTGAACTCAGGCATCTCTTGATTATTAAAGAGGTAGGAGCAAAGTGTAAAATGAGAGCTTGCTGAGATTTTGAAATACCTTTGTAACTTCAAACTTGTCTGTTTTGTATTAAGATAGAGTAGACAAAGTAATATAACCTGAAAATCCTAGAAGTTGTTTGCTTTTAAAGTCCTTGTAGGAGAAATTAGATTAAGGTTCAAGTGGAAATTAATGAGAAGGAAACCTGGTAGCATGTCATCTAAAAAGAATCTAAAATTTTACATTTGAATATGGATTAATACACAGTCTGGGAACGCTTTAAGCCCCCCCTCCCTTTTTATTTTTAAGCCTATTTTGTCTGTGCTCAGTTTCTTGGAATCATGCAGGTTTGGCTCTGGTGACCTAATAATTTCTGTAATCAAATGTATTATGGCTTGCTAGAGTACTCAGAGTAATTACTAATTGTACTTTTAAAAACAGGTTTATAATAAAAATGCTAATAGTTGTGTCAAATGGACATCAATATTGTCTTTTCCCAGGTGTGATCTTTCACACTTAAACTCTTCTATGATTTTTAATTGCTCGGTGGTAGAGGAATTAGTTAATGGTTAAGAAATTGTAAGAAGGACCTCATAGTGTGCAAGTTATTTAAAAATAATGAACTCAGTGTTTCCAGAGAAGTAATATGTGAACTTAGTTGACAGATACTGAGAAGTGAATTTGTATAAATAACCATCTCCATTTGTGTTTGTTCTCAATGTATGTGTAGAGAGACATAAAAAGGTACTGGGCGAGTTGATAGCACTAAGTGAACATATATGTTAAACTACAGAGAAAACAGACTCGGTTGTCAAGCGATTGGTGTGGTAATGGAAGTAATCGTTCACTAGATGGCGATAGACACCCTGAATTCATTAATCAATTAAGGGTTTTATTCTGTGAACAATAGTGAAGGCCATTTAGTGACACAAATCTGTCCAAATTTCTGACTTTTATTAATTTTGAAACTATTAAAGAAAGACTACTTCTGGACCAAAAGATTGTAATTGTCTAATCTGTTTAGTGTTTAAATAATGGTGATTCTTGAATAATAAGTTTTATTGATAAGAACAATCATTTAACATACCATAGCAAGCTAATTCTTCTATCAAATAGCTAAATTCACACTCCTGGCCATGGGGCTACAATACATGACTCCCTTGGTCACAGTATCAGGCTAATCTAAAGAGAATTGAAATTATTTTGATATGTAATTTTGCCTCTTTGAATTTGTTGGGGTTGTTTTTGAGGGATTTTAGACTTACTCTATACTTAAAAGCATACTCATTGCATAATCCTTAGGATAATGGTAATATTTGTCTTTATGGAATAATTAGTACTTATTGACGTTGGTATTGTTTTATTTCTGCACTCTGTTATTTCTGTGCCCTTGAGAAAACAATTTTTGGTCTGGATTTCTGATTGCATTTTAAAGTGAATGTATGCTCTAATGTTTGGGTGTAGAGCCCATGCGTTTTCATTTTCTTACCCAGTAGGTTGAAATGAGTCTGCCAGCCTGCTTGCCAACCTGTTGTAGACTGCCTAGCTTTCAGTTGTGTTTGGAACTGAAATTTGTGCATTTAGAAAATTTATCCAAATCATTGCATGAAAACATTGCAATCTGGGCAAGCTTTCCTGGGAGTCTTGGCGATGTGCTAGCAGCTGTCAGGAGCCCTTCAGAGTGGCCCTGGGACGGAGAGCTTTCCCCTTTGTTGATGTCAGTGGCAAAAGAGAATGAATGAATATGCAGAATTTTGTAATTAAGCGCTAAAGGAGACTTTCACCTTTATCTGGAAATAAGGACAAATTTCATTTTTCCAATTTTTTTCTTTAAAAAGTGTGATTTTAAAAAATTAAATGCACAAAATATTGTAGAGACAACTAAAGACCCTTTCCTTCCCACCCTTTCTCATTTCTTTCTCTTCCTCAGAGGAAACTGCTTTCTCAAGGTTGGTTTTGTCCTTCTTGCCCAAGTTTTTTTGCTTATATAACAAATATGTGTGCCTATACCTGTGGAGCCTTAAAATTTTGTACCATTTATGCGTCGTGGTCTCCTCTTCTTTTATGTGCAGTGTACCAGAAAAAAAAATGTAGGGGAAAACCCCTGCTCTGTCTGTATACCACTTTTTAAGTCTATCCATCTAAGTATATCCATTTTTAGACTTGATTTATTCATGTTACCTG